TTGTGTGGGCCAACCGTATATATGTTAAAACATGCATTACGTACTATTAAAAAGGTCTCAAGTTTGCCACATCATGACTCTCGAATTATTCTTAGGAAAGTGTTCTCTGTTCGCTGCTTTAGCGTTCAGTGTCAAGTAGAACTGCACTAGTTTTCCTTCCTAAAGTTCAACAGTACTGCGTCCATTTGTTAATCTGCTAAAACGCCTAATCCTTGATTCTTCTTGTTTCCTCTCTTCCAAACAAATACTGTTGTTCTAACTAACAAAATACTCGAACTTCGGTCATTCATTCGTTTCCAACGCCACATCAGGTTCTTCATATAATCGCACAATCAGATTGCGGCTTACCGTGGTCCGTCCTCCCTGTGACTTATCCAAGAGAGTGCGACTGGTGAGTCTCTCTTTTGGCATCTATGGTGTTTGCAGTCTAACGGCGTGGTACATTCCTGACAAAGGTCTCACGTGCGTGGGCCGTCGCATATACAGACGTGCGTATGTTTACGTTTTCGCGACGTCCAGCGCCAGATTTATAGAAGTTTTGCTTGTAAAATGAGGAGTTTGTAAAGGGCAGTTGTTCCTACTGATATCAGTTCTGTTCAGCCTATCAAATGCAAGTGTATTTGGTTAAATATTTTCTAGATAAATCGATGAACATCCTAAGATGAGATGATTCAACGTTTTATAAGGCATTTGTAAAGCAGCAACATCTGACCTAAAGAATTTGAGAAAGCGAACAGTTTTCAATGGTTCAGGAGTCTGAAGATATGATGTTCGATTTTCTTACCTTTTGTGAAATTGAGCATCTGCTGTTTATATAAAATCGCTAGAAGGACTTTCTTTAAAAGAAAGAACAACGTGCACAGCTTATGTTCTAAAGAAATATCAAAGCCAACAGGACAAATCGTTCAGTGGACAAATATGCATGTACGACCTGATGGACAGCAGTCACATGACATACAGTAGAACCAAGTTATTCTCAGCGTTTAAATGTTTGCAAGCATTTGTTCATCACTGTTCGAACCGAAAACTCCACGCAACATCTGTTGTTGTCAAATTATCCAAAGCAGCAACGAACTAGCTCAAATCTGAGATTGTGGAAACCGACATCTCTTGATTAGGTCTTGGACAGACTGTGGCTTCCTTAGATTTGGTACCATGCACTGGCAACGTGACACTTGTCTTCGAGCTGCATAGTATGTTCTCAATCATCGGCGAAGTCTTAGGCAAAATCACCTCATCCCTTATATTGC